CAAGCGCTCGATAAATTCCCATCCCCCCCGGCCCCCGCGGGATTCCGTCCGTATCCTCCGGCGCCGTCCCTACTCCAACCATTATTAATTTCTTCCTCTTCTCCACAAAAAAGAAAAAAAGAGAAAAAAAAACATCTGATTTTCTCGACTTAACCAAGTAGGCAAAATCGAGATTTTAGAAAAGGATTAGTCAGTACCGCTAAAAAATCCCAAGTCGGTGTACTCTCACGACGGATCTACCGTCCGTTAGCTCCGGCGCAAGCATCCCTTGTTAAATATCTGGAGTGGAAGCACCCGTGGCGATCGGCGCGTGAGGTGGATCCGACTCAGAAATCCAACATAAACGGGTCCCACGAGCGAGGCCTTCTTTGGGAAGCCGGACCCCAAGAAAACGAACTGGGATCGAGAAAGTTGCCGAAGCCTGCCAATTTCATCCCGGGAGCTCCCTCGAGTGTTTGGAAATCTGCTAAAATTCTCAAAATTTGCCTCAACGTTGCCAATCGATTTTTCACGAGTGAAGTCCTCTAAGATGTTTCTGTGAGTCACGCAAAAGTAATATGGGAGAACTGCGACACGAACATATTGATATGAAAAATTATTTTTTTTTCGCGATGGGAACATTAGTTTATGGTGAATTTGACACGGGTTTCAAATTATTATTTTTTTTTTGGTGCCAATCATGTTCACAATTAACAGGAAGAAGGAAAAAAAATTTAAAAAAAGGGGGGAGAGAGGGTTTTTAATGAGGGTGGGGTGAGGTGGACCTTAATAATGAAAGGCGGAGCCAAGATCGGAGCAAAATCCCACGAGACGAGGCACGGATTGAGTAACATCCAGCTCGGACATCATCGCCATCGCCAACACGTGGATCGGATTCGGATTGGGCCCCACCCAACAATTATCTACGCGCATTAAACTGATTAATCTCCTCACCTGTCCACTACATCAACGGATGGGACTTTTCCACCAAAAAAAAAAAAACAAAATAATAATTGCTAATTATTGGTTTCGAGAAGATCGGAGTCATATTATTATCATCATTAGAATACAAGATTAACATTAATTGTATATTAGCATTATTCATAACATAAGCTGCGGCCGGCTTCGTGGCCACGCCGCTGGTAAGGGTGCGCATGGAATGCATTCCGGAATAAAAATTCTATTCCGGAATGCAAACAGAATGACGTTTGTTAAAAAATTTCCGGAATGCATTCTGGAGCGATTTTTGCATTCTGGAATAAAAATGCGTTTGTTAAAAATACTTGATTCCAGAATGCATTCTTGATTCCAGAATGAGTTTTTAGCAACAAAAAGAGAAGCTACTTTTTGTAGCTTCTTGATTCCGGAATGCATTCTCCCTATTTTCTCACAAATTTTTTTTTCAGAAAATGCATAAAAATTGAAAAATTCTAGAAAAATTCATAAAAATTTCCAGAAAATAAAAAAAAAGTCAGATTTCGGGAAAATATGAAATTTGGTGAATTTTTTTTATAAAAAATTAAAAAAAATTAAAAATTTCAAAACTTCACAGAATAGCTTAAAAAACATGTGGCCACCCACTTTGAGTGAAATTTAAATTTTTTGAGGTGCCCAAAAAAAATCAAAAATTTCAAAACTTCACAAAATGGCTTAAAATACCTGTGGCCACCTACTTTGAGTGAAATTTAAATTTTTTGAGGTGCCCAAAAAAGAGAAAAATAATAAAAAAAATTTCAAAACTTCACAAAACGGCTTAAAATACTTGTGGCCACCCACTTTGAATGAAATTTAAATTTTTTGAGATGCCCAAAAAAAATAAAAAATTTCAAAACTTCACAGAATAGCTTAGAATACTTGTAGCCACCTACTTTGAGTAAAATTTAAATTTTTTGAGGTGCCCAAAAAAATTAAAAAAATTCACAAAATGGCTTAGAATACTTGTGGCCACCCACTTTGAGTAAAATTTAAATTTTTTTAGGTGCCCAAAAAAAAGTAAAAAAATAAAAAATTCACAAAATGACTTAGAATACTTGTGGCCACCACTTTGAGTGAAATTTAAATATTTTTAGGTGCCCAAAAAAATTAAAAATTCAAAAAATTCAAAACTTTACGAATGGCTTATAATACCTGTGGCCACCCACTTTGAGTAAAATTTAAATTTTTTGAGATGCAAAAAAAATCAACAAATCAAAACAGATTTCTAAAATAAAACATTACCCTAAGTTTCTCCATTGTTGGTGTCGGAATGTTTTATTTTTCGCCTTTTTTATTTTTATTTTTTATTTTTGTCTTTGGATATAAATTGTTTTATTTATTTATTTATTTATTTATTCCTAGGACCGTGTCAGCTTCTCCGCGTATGTTTTGTGTCGGGGCACTAATCAGCATGTGCAGCTCGCTAGGCCACCATCGGATTGGCATTTTCTCTTCTTCTTTTTTCTTCTTCTTCTTCTTCTTCTTCTTGTGTTTTTTTCTTTTTTTGGCACGAGCTAATTAGCATATTGGAAATTGGGAGAAGGGCGATTTACATGCTCTCTATACGCAATTAATAGCAGATACTTACATAGCGTTTGGTATTACTGACCCAATGGGCGGTTCAAAGTAAATGTAGAGATTAGGAATTCTTGTCCGGCCCCGTCCATGACCGGAAATGTCGGAACCTCTTTCGAAGAAAGATCCGGCCAAGGCAGGCTCGGGTTCAAGAAAGATGTGATTTCTCCGGCTGTCCGAATTTCAATTGCAATCTTGTTTTCTCGGTAAATAGAAAGGTGTTTCCCATAATAAGGGCATGCTTTTCTAGAAAGAATGATATGGCTATCTTTCAAAGTCAAGATACGCGTACTTTTGTCTACCCTTATGATGTTTATATTGAATCGATCCGCTAATCCGCCAATTAAACTCTATTGATGTGTGGATCTAAATGATTCAATTGGATAAATTATATTTCAGGTTTGGCCTCTCGAAGGCAGCATCTATTGAAATTTATGCGGTGACATTTACTACGAGATAGGCAAAAATTCCCGGGTGAAGGACATAACCACTAGGACAAACACTTTGACCCATTTCAAGCAATCTCCGAAGTGTATGATTAAAAAAGGAAAAAAAAAAAACACCTGCTAAAATGAAGTTTTGCCCGTCTGAATTCATCACCAAAGTAGCTTTTATCACATTGGTGAACCCCAGCAGCCCATTCATCTATTGATTGCATATGTCTCATGTGTACACTTATATCTATCGACACGACAAAGCAAAACTCGAATGCCAATTTTCGATCGCGGGTTCTTACCAAATGCTTTCAAGGAAGTCTATGCGGTACATTCCGAATGACGGACAAGATCATAGCCTAAAAGGCATAATAAGTACGCCCCGTTCATTCTCGATCTGAATTAATTCTTCCTTGTCACGCAATAACTCATATATTAAAAACCCAAAATCCGTCCTTCTTTTTCCTTTATTTTTTCCCCCCGCATGATAATATGTGCGTCAAGTTTGAGAGATAGAGGGAGAACAAGGCACCACTCCACATATATTCTATTCTAACTTCTAAGTATGGTCGATCGGCCTATAGTTTAATGCATGACTTAGCTTAGCAATATTGTATAGTTAGCGCGGGTGCGGAAAACCCTAAAAACCAGAATGATCCTTTCGGAGAAGGCAAACCGCGAAGGATCGAATGAGATCGTTTCGGCGTTCCGCAAAAGAAGCTGATTTTTTATTCGGTTTGCAATCGCTTCGTATTAAAGGGAGATGAACGGAAAGTGGTCAAGACATCACACGGCCTAATATGGTCCTTTTCTGCGCGTTTGTTATTTTGATGAAGTCAATATTCCCAACTTGAACAAAAAATATTTAAAAAAAAAATAAAAACTTTTACCATATTTGGCAAATTAGGCAATATGAGGGCAATCTCCCTAACACCTTCCAAGTAGGCTCTTCCCAAGATGCTCTGGATCTTTCATGCCCTCCTTTTCCTTTTTTCTTTTTCATTGGAGCACGCTAAAGATCTTCAGAATAAATTGACCTTGTCACGTCTCGCCGATTCATCCTTTTAAACGACAATGGAAGACCCGATTTGCACGATCGGTTTATCTGGGTGTCAAGCTACGTGCTCGGAGACGGGACTTGCTCAAATTTGGGGTGGCTCGGTGCGCTGTGGCTTGACGGATTCACGGACGCTAATCAATCTCCCGAGTTTCATCGTCGTCCTCGATGAGGATCAAATTATTTGTACATGAATTGAACCGGCAGGTCCCCAAGATTTTTGCGAGTCGAGGGTACGAATGGTGGCACCATTGTAGAATACAAGAAACTTTTGTTAATTTATTACTCAAGCTAAGTCAAACAAAACGGCAATATGGAAAAAGGGAAAAAAGAAAAAAAGAGCAGGAATAGGAAATGGGGAAAAAGTAATAACCCATGGTAATACTATAAACCCGTTTTAGGAGGACAAAAGTTAGGCATGTTGAACATAATATGCGTTATTATATTATTGTAAGTGAGGTTTAAAATAGGATTTTTCAGTTGCTTGGTCAATTAAATTAAAAAAAATTGAGATTGATTAACGATTTTTCCATGTGGGTGTTGGGATAGATTTGTTGGATTTGGAGAGGATAATTAAGGCAAAAAAAAAACCGATTTTTTTATTAAATTTTTTTTTTCCAACTGTGCTGTTAATGTGAAGGGACACAGGAACATGGGTCCGCCCCAGCGTGTTTAGAGACAAGTGGGCAAATAGGAGAAGAAGAAAACTTTAATTCGCCATTAATTTCGTTTATCTTATTCACGTTGGTTTTCAACAAAAGGACAGATTGCAATTAAATATGCAAGAACAAAAGAAATAATAAAATAATAATAAAAAAAAAAGCCAATGAACTGTTCAACGATCGAGAGGGAGGATTCTTCAGCAAGTGCCTTACCCTCTACGGATCTTGTGGACTCGTGTGAGCTGTGGAAGACGACGACGAAGAAGAAGAAGAAGAAGAGAAGGTGAGGGCGAAGGTGAAGGTGGTGATCTCTATTTAAGCCCTTCTCTTTCTCACCTTTTCCTCCTTTCTAAAACAACTTCTCCTCTCCAAAATCCTTCTCTCCAGTCTTTCTGATCAGCAGTGGTTTTTCATTCGTATCAGCTTCTTTCTTTCTTTTTGCTTCGAACGTTGGTGGCCATGGAAGAAGAAGGGATGGTGGTGAACCAAGCGAGAGAGCATCAGGAGCTGATAGATTTGCCCCCGGGCTTCAGGTTCCACCCCACGGACGAGGAGATCATATCTCACTACCTCACTCCCAAGGTCCTGAACAGCTCCTTCTCCGCCAGTGCAATCTCAGAAGTAGATCTCAACAAGTGCGAGCCTTGGGACATGCCAAGTTAGTAAATAGACCCTTCACTGATCCTCTTTCGACAAGCCTTTTTTCGTTTTTCAGTCTGGAGAACCTTTTGATTTCTCTATATTCATTCCGGGTTTTGGTTTTTTTATTTTCCTTTCCTTTGCCTTTAATTTTCAGAGAAAGCCAAGATGGGTGAAAAAGAGTGGTACTTCTTTTGCCAGAAAGATAGAAAGTACCCGACAGGGACTAGGACCAATAGAGCCACGGAGTCTGGGTATTGGAAGGCCACAGGCAAAGATAAGGAGATTTACAAAGGAAGAGGCAGGCTTGTGGGGATGAAGAAGACCCTTGTTTTCTACAGGGGTCGAGCTCCCAAGGGAGAGAAGACCAACTGGGTCATGCATGAGTACAGGTTGGAGGGAAAATTGGCTTACTACAATCTCTCCAGGGCCGCCAAGGTACAAGTTACATGTACATATGCATGATCGCTATATATACTTTCTCTACCGTTCTATACCTTTCTTATGATTCTTTTTTTTTTTCATGAAAAGGGAAAGATAAGAAGGAATTTCATTTTGATGTGGCTTTTGAGATTGAATCCTCCTGCTTTTTCCTTATCCAGTTTTATTATAATTTCCCCCTTTTGTTCATGTGGGTTGCTTTTGCTTTGGTTGTGAGGATATCTTGGCAAAAAAGCTGAAGGGCTTTTTGTGATGATGTTCATATGATTGCAGGATGAATGGGTGGTGAGTAGGGTTTTCCACAAGAGCACAGGCATCAAGAAAGCTCCATCTCCAGGCCTGCTCACAAGAATCAATTCTTATGTTGATGACTTGTTGGATATGTCTTCGCCCCCGCCGCCACTCATGGAGCCTTCTTCGAGCAGACCGAGCTCTAGCTTCACCGACGGGGAAAATGAACTGAAGGGCGTGATAAATTCGGTCCCAAGAGTGCCGGATGGGAACACCGGTTACTTTTATTTTCCAGCAAATTCGACCGAAGACCAGCACCAAGTACTACTGCAGCAACAACAAGATCATATGAGTTGCTATAATATGATGAACCCAAGTATCGATGCAAGTCACTGCCCTCCACAATTGTCAAGTTATCCTCCTCTCTTTCCCTCTCATTGGTCTACGAATCCTGATGAGTACTTGCTCCAAGGAAGAAGCGACATGATATCAAGCTTTGGCGGTGCGGGTCTTAGCCGTGGGAGTGCCAATCATGCTCTTCTAAGAGCAATAAGGGCAAATTTGGAGACATCGAACCTTCAGCATAACAAGCAGTGCAAAGTGGAGCAGTTTTCATCTAATCATTCTATGGTTAGTCTATCTCAGGACACCGGGCTCAGCACGGATGTTAACAATGAGATATCATCTGTAGCCATCTCCAAGCGAGAGGTGGGAAGCGGCGATACATTTGAAGACCTCGAGGGTTTATCATCAGTAGGCCCAATTCAAGATTTTGATTTTTGGGACTTCTGATCAAGATGGCGAAACATAGACAGCATCATATAGAGATGATTAATTTAGAACTATGATCCACTAGGTATTATTTAGTTTTTCAGGTTCATGGATCCTTATATTCCTGTACATAAAATATTCCCAATGTCCAACACCTTTTAGATTCTTCTTTTATTGATGGATCAGAGGGAACGTGTTACGTGATTACAATCTTATGGACCTTTTATGTAAATTATTATTTCCCTTATTGTGATTTTGCAGCTCTATATTAGTGCATTCGTTCTGCTTTCTTTTGCTCTCTCTCTCTCTCTCTCTTTCCTCCTACATTCTGTTAATGAATCCTACGCGTGTTATTCTACGGAGCATTAGCTGGCTGGTTTTACCATGAAATTACAGACGAGGGATACTTTGGTCAAAGTGTGCAAACTTTGGGGTCAAGTTCAACGTAGAAAGTTTACAAACTATTAAGTTGAAAAGGTCCTTCTAACCGGGGAAAAAGGAAGATAAAGCCTGATAAAGTCATCAGAATTTAAGAAGAGGATGGGGTGATCTTTTCAGCTGAGAGCACTGTGATGGCATATCAATCCAGGTCCACTGAATGTGAAATGTAGATTGAGGGACAAGCCTGGGGGATCAGCAAATGGGAGTTAAAAGCTTCATTAACACAGCTGAAGGAGGGAATCTCCTCAAGTTCATCACACCCATCTTCTGATCGATCTAATTCATGTGTGCACAGCTTAATAACCCATTTAATTAAAAGAGAATTGAATTCGGAAGGGAATGACATCATGTGCAAGTCCTTAATGCTTGGACAGGTGGATAATACACTTCAATCAGCAACCTTCTCTGTAGAGAAAGAGATTTCCAAAAGAGAAGAAAAAAAGGAAAAGAAAAGGTCCTGGATCACATGAATCATTCCCAGGATTCTAGCAGCAGATGCCTCTCTCTCTCTCTCTCTCTCTCTCTCTCTCTCTCTCTCTCTCTCTCTCTCTCTCTCATCGATCTAACTAAACGTTTTTAATCGAGACATCAAGTAACAAAAGAACAAGTGTTTCCTTCCCTTTTTCTTTTCATCAAAAAAGAATGAATTGAAAAGACGACGAAAAAGGGTATGTTCTATGGATAACATGGGAAGGTCTCAGCTACAAGCTTGCTCTCTTTCTGTGGTCTTTTCCCTCCTTCCATTCCTCTCTCTCTCTCTCTCTCTCTCTGAGATGAATCAATAATTGACAGTATTCTTCCTTTTTTGTTTTTTATCCTGAAATGTTATACGTTTGTCCGTAGTCTGGTTCCTGCACGAAAATCATCTGCAAACGTAGAAAGGGGTGGGCCACGAACGCAAGTTCAATCCATGGAGTAAACCACTTCTTAATTTGCCTGATATTAATTTCAACAAGAACAAAAGCAATAACAGCAACAAGATGAACCCTTCTGGGAGAGAGAGAAAGAGAGAGCTTCCGTTCTGGCCCATCAATGTGTCATTTTACTTTCTATGCAAGGCAAAGGAGGAAGAGTTGGTTTGAGACTTGCGGGGGAATTAACCGCGCATTTCAGGCCGTTCACTCGTTTTCATTCCCTTTTTGGACATGGAACCTAGAATTGTCGCGCTAAAGCATTCTTGGTCCGAAGCAAATGAAGAGGAAGCAAACAAAAACAAGAACAGCGTACGCAACACGACCGTAAAGAGGCTGATGATTACTAAAGCCATCTTCTCGTCTCTCTCTCTTCTCTCCGCCCCCTATCTTCCTTGTGCATTACAGAAAAAGGCCTGATTTGCTGCATGAAAAAATGGAGGGCGCCACCAACCGGTCACGAGGCCAGACCACACACTCTCCCTGCGCTTCAAAATTACTACATCTCTCTCTCTCTCTCTCTCTCTCTCTCTCTCTCTCTCTCTCTTACCTCATTTGCTTGTCATCTCTCGGCTCATTTTTTATTAGGAAGCATTTGTGCCAATCTTTCATTTGGGTTTCGATTTCCGAAATTTAATTTATCGAAAATCAATATAATCCCTGATTAAGTTATCTGACAAGTATTTTGAAAGCACTCGCTGATGAAAACTCTGTTTAGTACGCATGTCGCCTGCATACAAAAGGCATAACTTGTCTTCATCACTCACACGGATAGATCGCTCAAAATTAGAGTTTTTATCCATCACTTTGCAGATACTAAGAAAATTAAATGCCACAAGCACATGCAAGGGATAATGTGCTTGCTATCTTTTCTTTGTTAAAGTACAATACGAATGGATTTATTATATGCCAGCAGAAGCTTAACTAACATTCATTGTAATTACAGAAAAAACCAAATGGGCAAGGAGAAAAACATATAATTTATATACTAATTGGCCCCATAATTGGAAGGAGCAGATTGCAATTTCAACCTTGTTTTTATACGCAAATCATTGAATATCAGACTATCTTACTGCGCGGGGATGCTGAACAGTTTCTTTCTTGTCCTTTGAATCCATTCAGATCATGCTTTAATCTTTGGTTGATGACTCCACTAACGCGCCTAAATCAATCATCGTTGACTTCGTTTTTCTATGACTTCCGAAAGTAAACGTACCTTCTTAATTTAAACGTTCTCTTAATTAAGCATGATTAACAAAGAGAAAGCTTCAGATCTTGACACTGTCTCATGCATCGCAAGAAAAAGATCCGTACCTTCTTAATTTAAACGTTTCTTTTTTGGGTTTGGTAATTTTATTTTATTAAATTCTTGAGGGTACTTGTAAACAAGAATCATTTCATAAATATAAGGAGAAATTCACGCCCGAGAGAGGTAAAGACAAATCGAGATGGTTCGATAGATCATTCATTGAGCTTCATTTCATGCCTTTTATATTCTTGTGTAGCAATCAAAAAAATTGTTTGAAAAATCCCTGATAGCAGCTACAATAGTTCTTTACATGAAAAAGAAATTAGAAACCCTCCTAATCACGTCCTTTCATCCGTACTCTAAATCTCCATCGAAACATCAGTGAAAACGAATTTTCGTGCATATAATATAGGGAAATGGTGACCCAAGAGAGAGAAATTATTTATCTATGTATGTATATATATACACATATATGTGTGTGTGTATGTAAGTTTCGTCAATTTCTTCGTCTTTGGACGTACGTGGATGATGCCGATCCGTCGTGGAATCAACTGATATATTGCCAGTCTAGCAAGGGTCTTGCACAGTGAATTGTGGAGGAAATTTCACGCCCGTTTGTTTTTGTAGTGATATTCTTGACTTTTCCTTTTTGTTCGAATAACCTAATCTTGTTTTAGTTTTTTGGTCCGTCATTTCATTCGAAAGAGAACGCGTAAAACGAAGGGCTAAGTGTCTTCTTGTTCATGGAACCGGTGAAAAGCATCGAATCATCAACTTCCGGAATGGTTCTCGTTCTAGACTCCAGTGCCAACATTTTCCCACGAATGCACAAGTAAAGTCTAGGTATTCGCATGGACATGGCATGTAAATGTCTCCTTGTCGTTGCGAAAACTAGAAGGTATCGGGTCTTCTAGCAAAGACCCGTATCATAAATCACTCGTCAATACTCCCGTGCCAATGAATGTCACGAGTAATGTCGATGTGAGAAGGGCGACACGTGAAATTTGAGGAGCAATGAGGAACTTTATGATGTCCTGGATATGTGCCGTGTGTGTGTTTGTTGGTGTTGATAAGTATGTCCAGCGTAAGTCACACGCTAGTATCGCTCCGCAAAATGTTGGAACAAGTCTTGCCTCCTGCTTTCGGTCATCGTGTTAATCTCGATTTTGCTTTTGTTGCCGACACTGATATCAAGAATCACCTCATAATATGTGATGGGCTACAGTTTTTGAATTCGAGATCTAACGCCGTTCGAGACAAAACGTACCAATTGTCCTATTGATTGAAGACACACGATACTCGACTCGCATCGTTCAATCTTCGATCAATTTATTTTTATATTTTCTTACCATATGAGAGCAATGCCGACATTAAGTTTGTCGGTATGAATCGGTCGGTACACGTATCACGTTTAAAGAACAATATCTACTAGGTTAATCACATATGAAAAGAAGAAGAATGAGAATCCATGAATCTAGAACGCCTGACGAGGGTGTGTCGAGCGATGGGAAATTTCAAGGAAATTTCTCCAAGGAAAGCACCAAATCCACTAGCATCGTCAATTCCCCGTCCAAGATATATCATATTTGTCACAGCTTGAACAACAATCTAAAACGACATAAACGCCATTGATGTGGATGTGTTTAGGTTTTTACATTTCTGTCGAGAAGCCTTTTAGGTTCGAGAGACTTCTCTGGCGTGTGTACGTGTAGTTGAAATTTCATTGGTTTTGAAATCATGTGTATCCATGCATGCACATTAGGCAAAATAAGATGCTCAATCCCTTTTTGGGTCATTTCAAATATCGAATTCATAGTTACGTTACGGGGAAGGTGCGCGTCTGTTGGACTTTGGTGATTTTCCCAATACAAAGACTCTTTATGCTTAAACAGTGGGCACTGCACTGAAAATCAAAACATTTCCTTATTAGGTATACTTAACGAGTGCTTTGATGGAATTCGGTACCTAAACCCTTATAGTAATGTAAGAGAGAGTACATACCGATGCGACATTAAACTATGTGAGTATGCACCTAGGGCGAGATTAATTATCTTACTTAAAATAATCGGCCACTTTCGTTCATTAAATGACTCGATGAGATTTCTTGGAATACCTTAGCAAATCAAACTTTCAAAGTCTCCTCTAGAAAAAGCTATAAGAGAAATGTTCCTCTATTAGGTCTATGTTACCTAACTTAATTAATTCAGGATTGGATTTTGTATATCGACGGAAAATTATCTAAATGATAACGGAGTTATGTCGTTTCTATGAGCAGTTCATTTAATTGCGATCGCTAAAGTCGAGGAGAATTGGCGAAATTTCGTTTCATCTGCAGAATTAATTCTTCATTGTTCGGTTTCTAGAAATGGAAATAAACAAAGACTACTTTTTCTGTAGAGGGAAGGTGTCAATTCATACTTCTTGGAGAAGTAGCAAAAACAATCTGTTTCTTCAAGACAAATTGAAAAATTAAAAAATCGGATAAATGCCGGTAAGCGAGTCGATTGAGACTTGGTACCGCAAAGTGATAAATTCATCGGACAAAAGTCGATATGTCGCACAAATTTAGGTTGGCGAATTCTAAAAGCTTTAGTAAATATGAGGGGTTGCTTATAACCGCGGCAAATAAAAGTTGACAACTCAATAGAAAAAGCTAGCACGCTGA